TGCACACACAAGGCTATATGCATATTTTTTCACAGATGGAAATTATAAAAAACTGTTCTGAAATTTGCTTATTTTTCCCCTTCCTACTTTATTTACCCTGAATAGCTTCCCATATCAGTGTATGTAGATTGACCTCCTTATTTCTAACAACTGCTCTATTTATAAGGTAATATAACAGATGAGCTCTCAGATCTCAATGGCTTCACATAATTGAAATTTACTTCTCGTTTACCTTAATCCAGTTGGTGATCGAGTGGGGAATGGGGGGAGGGAGGGGTTCTGCTCCTAGCACTGATTCAGGAGTCCAGGGGGACCAAGGCCCTCCCACCTTCAACATGTGACTTCCACATACTTGGTGGCTTCTAAAGTCACCCTGGGTGACACTCTCCAGCCAGCAGATGGGGAAAGAATGTGGAGAAGGGTGAGAAGTTTGTTTTACAGAGAGCCACATCCAGAAGGGATATCTAACACTTCTGCCCACATTCCATGGCCAGAACTTGAAGAGCCCCCACCCTACACAAGCACTAGGAGATGTCCTGGCCGGACGGCTGCTTCCCTGCAACCCGATGCTGTCGAAGGGGACACAAACCTTTGGTGGGACGTCAAACACACCCGACACAGTTGCGCTGTAGGAATACATCCAGATTTATTTAAGCTCCAGAAAGCTAGTTTTCTTCTTTTCTTTCTTCTGCTTTTCTACCTGTCTTTTGTCAAAGGCAAGTTTTTAAAGTGTGGAGTGATATCACCTAATAAGAATGAAAAAATAAGAAAGTGGACACCTGTAACCACTGCTGGTGGGTATGTGCACTGGTTCAGGTTTTATTGGGTAGGGAGGAAACTTCAATGAAAAAACCTTCTAAAAGATGCATAACTTCACATCTAAGGATGTTTCCTAAAGAAATCAGCGGGTCACAGCTCATGTCAGTGTATACGAGGATGTTCATAACAGTCACACATGGTAAGCAACCTTGATGCCCAACCACAGAAAACTGTTTAAATGACTGTGTACATCCATATAATGGAATACTATGCAGGTGTTTAAAATAATTGTGTAAATACCTGCAAACACAAAAATGTCCATGATATCTCATGATAAAAAAATAAGGCTCCTAAAGTGCAATTTTTTAAAACAAATTGATATCTGTAACAAAAAGGCTAGAGGACACATTCAAATGTTCACAGTATTCATCCCTGGGGAGTTGAACTCCGAGTGTTTTTCACTTTCTTCTTTTACACCTTTATGTAACATGTCAATATTTTATCGTTAAAAATAAAACCAGCAAAGCTATTTTCAGCTTGAAATGAAAAAAAAAAAAGTAGATACAGGGGATTGGGGTTTAGGTGATTAAAGGCAAGCATGTGAGTCAGACATGGCCTGCTGGCCCCTGCCTGTCTGTTGGACCTGTCGCCTGACACTCAAGTTGCTATCAGGAGCACTTTTCTCTGTCAAAGAGACTGGCTTTTGTCACGCAATCCCCAGGTTATAATGGGAGGGAAGGATAGGCCCCAGAGCAGTCGGCAGAGCCAGCCCCGCTTGAGTCGGTCACTGGGCTCGCCATGCCCCGGCCTCTGCATGGGGAACACCATCAGGGCCCTCGTGGCCTTCATCCCTGCTGAGCGCTGCCAGAACTACATGGTCGGAGACCTCCTAGAGATGCCGCTGGACAGGATGGTGGACCTCAGCGGGAGCCAGCTGCGCCGCTGCCCTGTGCACGTGTGCTCCTTCAGGGAGCTGGTCAAGCTCTACCTGAGTGACAACCACCTCAACAGCTTGCCTCCGGAGCTGGGGCAGCTACAGAACCTGCAGATCCTGGCCTTGGACTTCAACAACTTCAAGGCTCTTCCCCAGGTGGTATGCACCTTGAAACAGCTCTGCATCCTCTATCTGGGCAACAACAAGCTTTGCGACCTCCCCAGTGAGCTGAGCCTGCTCCAGAACCTCCGGACCCTGTGGATCGAGGCCAACTACCTCACCCAGCTGCCAGATGTGGTCTGCGAGCTGAGTCTCCTTAAGACTCTGCATGCCGGCTCCAATGCCCTGCGTCTGCTGCCAGGCCAGCTCCGGCGCCTGCAGGAGCTGAGGACCATCTGGCTCTCAGGAAACCTGCTGACCAACTTCCCCCCAGTGCTGCTTCACATGCCCTTCCTGGAGGTGATCGACGTGGACCGGAACAGCATCCGGTACTTCCCCAGCCTGGCCCACCTGTCAAGCCTGAAGCTGGTCATCTATGACCACAATCCTTGCAGGAACGCACCCAAGGTGGCCAAAGGTGTGCGCCGTGTGGGAAGATGGGCAGAGGAGACACCAGAGCCTGACCCCAGAAAAGCCCGGCGTTATGCACTGGTCAGAGAGGAAAGCCAGGAGCTACAGGCACCTGCCCCATCTCCCCCAGCCCCTCCTAGCAGCTCCTAAGGAGCTTCACCTGTAGGTCAATGACAAGTATGTTCCAGAGACCTCTCCATTAGAGCAGAAAGGATTGCTCTGGGTCCTCTGGGGTGGCTCTGCCAGTAGAGGCTGATGGAGAGCTAGGTAAAATGCCATAGCCACATCACACGGAGAAGAAAACATTTCTGGCCAACAGCATCTCTCCAGAGGGCAGTTGTCCTGCTATTGGTGGCAAAGCAACCCAGAGTGATCATAACTTCTTTGCAAGAAAATGGCTTCTCCAAGCAGTTTTTGAAATAGTAGAGCAAAGGCTGGGACACTTTGGCCCAGAGTAGCTGGTCATGAGGCTCGTGAGCTCTTCAAATAAGGTATTTGTTATAGAACTAAGTGTTCAGGTGGACTGTCCCCTTTGCAGGGTATATCTTCTTTATTATGAATGACCATAAAGAGTATCAACGTATTGTTACTGACTTCAGGCCACTGAAAAGGACATTTCTACCTAGTCCATCAGTCAGATTCACAGAAAAAAGCTTTTTGTTGCAAAGGCTCAAGATGAAACATGTCCCTCAGCAGCTTAGCGCCTGCTGAAAAGACCCCTGATGGAGAATGCCTCTTGGTGGAGTCCGGCTGCCACTTTAAACTTGACAGCGCGCATGTTGATTTAGTTCGTTTCCTCTAAGAGGTTTGACCCAAGGTCTGCTCCCAACAGTTTCCTGTCACTGATAATATTGGAAGTCATCTGGGGAGTAGAACCTCTCTTCGGCAATGCGGTCTCATGTAAGTCAAGCCTTGCGATTCCTGGCTGCTTCCCTACAGAAGAGCCCTTGTTTATTCACACTGATGAACCAGAACAGAGCTCAACTGAATCCCCGTCCTTGGAGGGAAACCACATTTCCAGAAACCTATTAGGTTAAAGGTAGTAAGTTAGAAATCTGTTCACTTGAAACAAGCACTTTGAAACTTCAATTGCAGGGTTGTGGTGTATATACGAAGTCTCTGCCTCTTTAGCCTAAGTATCTCTGCCTTTATTCTGATTTGTTTTTATTTTTATAGGGTCTTTTGACAGTGTATAAACCTCGGTATTTTGGCCATTGTTTTTGGAAGTAGGTAAATTGTGACCTTCCCATGAATATATAAACGTAAAAGAAATTGCTGTCAGTGGGTGATTTAATAACACGATCCCCTTCATGTGCTTGAACTTTTTCAGCAAACAAAACATATCATCTTAAATAAAACATACTATACTAAGCTTTTAAAAAGTACTTTTCCCATAAAAGCATCTTAACCCAGCGAAGTTTGCTTCTAAAATGACATTATACAATAAGAGTATTTTCATGTATGTCTTCCTATCAGAAATATTTCTTGCTAAACCAGAGGAAGAGAAAGTTCCACAATATTGTGTAATCCCTTCCTACCGTCACCTCCCATTTGTAGGGCATCTGCAACACAGTGATCAGACTGACAAAAGGCCCCTTCAATCATTTAATGTAATAGGTGATACCTATAGGTCACACATGTTTAACTCCTTTAGTAACAAGTTCAGATTTCTATTAGACAGCTAGGATTTATAGTCTATTTTCTCATTCCTAATGACTGAAACCCAACTATACTCAGCTGATGTTAGAAACTTTTGTCAACAGAACTTGCCTTCTAAGCTTTATCTACAGTAAAGTTTATGGATTGCTTTCTTTCGACCCTGTCTTCTCCCTCCCAAGATTAATGGGCCCACCTTTTCTAATGCAGCCAAACTATAGCCATAAAACAGAGTGAAGCCAGATGATCACATAGAGCTCTCATCTAATGAGCTAACTGGTCTGAATTAAATGTCAAATTATAAACATTTTGGCCCATGTTTTCTTCTGTAACAATCAATACACAACAAATCAACATTTCTCAAGCAATATGGTCGAGTGTTCACTAAATTTGCTTTTCAAAAATGTTTTCACTGTAGGTTTTCAACCAACCTTATAACGTATATAAATGCATACTTACATTTCTATAACCCTCCTGATGTTTTCTGGAAATGTTGACATAATTAGAAAGTAAAATAACAAAAAAAAATGTTGACACACCAAATATAACCTTTTTGCTCCTGATTTTAAGTTTTGGAACCCAAAGGGTCAATGCATCAAAAGGAAAATCTCTTCTAGAAGTTTACATAGGACTTCAGCTTCCATAAGTGATATCAACTAAAACCTTTATGACATGGATTCAATGGAAATGAATGAGCGACCAAGTTTGCTTCTTTACTTTTTCCTAAAACGCAACATCACTACAGTGTGTAATTTTACACTTAAAAAGTAGGCTTGTGCCCTAAAAATCAACTGAATTCAAACAACTTTAACTAAAAGTACGTATCAAACACATAGTGACCCAGAGGCAGCGAGCATGGCCCTTCAGACCACCTGGGTTCAAATCTCAGCTTTGCCACCTACTAGTCAGTTATCATCTGTGTGCCTCAGTTTCCTCATCAGTAAAGCAGTAAGTTTCTACCTCACAGGGCACTGTAAGGGTTAAACCAATTACTGTGTATAAAATGCATAGAACACTGCCTGGCATGTGATAATGAATGTGTACATAACATGTTTTTTACTAAGTCTTATGCAGCACAACACTTATATTTATGCTAAAATCAGTATAATTCCTATCTTAAAGAAAAAAACCTAAATGGCAACAGAACAAAAAAGCTTTTTTCTCCCTCAGTAAATCTTTCAACCCTGTAGTCCTGAATTTAAGAAATATAACCACAATTTGGTCAAGTGCTCCTGGATTACTAAATAAGAAAACACAGACATGATTGGTTAGCAAGGATTCATTTTAATTTCTAAATGAAAAGTTTGCTCCTCCGTTGTTAATCTAGAATTCACAAAATCACCTAAGTACTTGAAAACATGAGACTGTGAGGGCTGTCCAGAAAGTATCCAGCCATTATTAATATAAGAACAACGGCTACATGGCTAGATACTTTCCGGACAACCCTTGTATTCCTTGGCACTAAACTCATGTTTCATGAAGGGCAGGAGGAATGTGACTAAAGTCAGGGGTCTTGCTATTAATATACTTTCTTTTTGTCATTTTTTTAAAAAAGCATACTCCTTGTTCTCTCATTACCATAGAAAGGATACTATTAAAAAAACAACGAAGTATGTATTATATATGCCTCTTTTCCCTTCTGGACTACTTCTGGAGACCGGGAAAGCAGATCTTATCTGACTCCGCAGTTCCAGCATGTTATTTGATTATGGGAGATTTTATCACGGATCCAGCCCATAGGACAGGGGGCAGGTTGACATGTGGAGCACTGCTAGAGGTCAAGTACTATCCTCAGGATCTTAATTTATATAATCTTTTCAATATTCCTTTGAAAAAGGGTGTTATATACAGCTCACAATTTAAAACTCAGAAATTTGAAAACAGGATTGCCTTTTTTCTTCATACTGGGAACAAAAGTGATTCTATGGTTAAAAAGATTTAAGTCCTCTTTACACTTCTATTGTTCTAGTATGCTAACAGGGTACCAGACAAGGCAAACTTTAGTAAAGGGTTTTATACAGAGTATTCTGCTGACTTTTATTATTTAAGATCCTGTCAAGAAACTGCATTCACGTCTCATGGTTACGTGGAGACTTCAACAAAGGGACTATTACTAGACAGGATGAAGTGGGGGAAAAACAAGGTAACAGCAACCCAGACACTAGCAACAGAAGCATCTGTTATCACCCATTAAGACTGAGTGAACAGAGCAAAGAAATGTTACCCAAACCCATTAAGAGCTTAGAGCCATGAAAGAGAGGCTGCCTAGCCAAGATGTAGTAGGTCCTGCAGGAATGCAGCTACTTCCAAAGAGCAAGTCAAGAAGAAAACAGATTTCCTCTCCCCATATTCTGCCAATGCCTCTTAAACCAATAGAAAACCAGTTCACAGGGACTTGTGAATGAGGCAGATAGCAAGGGTAAGCCTGCATGGCCTCAGAGCAGATGAATACTGGATTTGGGGAGATGAAGAGAGTAAAAGAATCACACACACAAATCATCCTTCTTTGAAGAAAGGCTGAAGCAACTTTTAGGATAGATGTAAAAATCTTAAGCACATAGATAAGTTTCTATGAAGTGATGGTAACTATTAATGTACATTCCAAATTTCTATTTTCATTCCACGAGTCTTCTGAAAATAAAAACTCACTGCTTCCATACTTGCTCTTTCAGAGTTAAAAGAAACTGTATCCTAAAACCATTACAGAAATTAGAAGGCCTAGGCTGTACTTACCTCTCTGATACTGAAGATTTTAAAATTTGTGAATTTGGGATTTTTCTAAAGACAACAAAATCTGTAAGGGCTTTCAAAGGATATAAACTCAAAGAAAAAGAGCACGGCTGTATTCTTGGATACAATTGTTTCCACATTTCTACCTTTTTAGATCACTCAGTTTTAACACTTACTGGCCTTTTTAAGGTCTTTGGAGAAAATGTGCCCAAGTACCCTCTCGGATTAAATTAATTCCAGGCTATCTGGTCCCTTGGTATGGACAAGCCGACCTCTCCCACTGAAACCTCTGCAGGTTTTCAGTCATATGCTCACCTGCTCCACCTACCTCAGTTGTGGGTATCACAACCGCTATATGACATGATAAAGCACTTAAAAAAAAAAAAAAAAAATCACCCAGTGGATGGTACTATGTTACTAAGAGAATTCTCTTTAATTAATACTAAATTTTTCCAGTTTTAATAGCTTCTGCAAAGTAGTATTAAAATATTGAGACAAACTTTTAGATGCTCCAACTCCCCCAGCCCCCACAAAAAATATTGGTGTATCAATGTTTCTTTGAAAATCCTTTGCTCCTTTATGGGAATTGTCCATGATAACAGAGAGATATCCAACAAAAAATGCATAACCTACTGCTGGGCTCTTTTATTTCTTGTGCATTGTTATATATTGATGTATTAACCTAAAGTAGCCTGTAAACCATCAAACTCAGTACATACTTATGCCCATTCTCATTCTTTCTCATCCATTTACAAAAGTCCGGGGGAGGGGGAAACAGTACTTAAGTCTTAACTATAGCTATCTTCTTTAAGAGAGTGTTACCTCACAAAACACTTGGAGAGATGCTTAGAGCATCATGCAGTAACCAATATTTAAAATATTACCGTTGCAAACTTGAAGTAA